TGTTTGCATGCTATGGTTGGTTTGCACTGTGTATGCATGCTATGGTGTGTGTGTATGCATGCTGTGGTGGGTGTGTGCGTGTGTGTATGCATGCTATGGTGTGTGTGTATATGCATGCTATGGTAGGTGTGGGTGAGTGTATGCATGCTATGGTGGGTATGTGTATGCATACATGTGTATGTGTATACGTGCGCATGCACACATGCATAGTTACTGCCCTCAACCTTCCCTTTCTACTCAGTAGACAGATGATGCAGGCCCCTGACTACTGCTGGTTCTGCCAATGCCCTTACACTAAAGAGCTGATGAAACCCCAGTCACCTGGTGAGGACAACAGCTTCCAAATGTAGAAGTAGCCACACAGTGAGCTCCCCCAACACTGTGCTGTCTATACCACACCTACATGAACTGCTATTCAATGATTTAAAAGAAAAGCCTCCGTGAGAATACAGATGAACAGTTAAATGAAATTAGGAAGCTCATGTACGATAGGAATGAGAAATTCATCAGAGATGGAGACTTAGAAAACGAACAGAAACCCTGGAAATGAAGAGTTCATTAAATCAAATTAAAAAAAAAATCAGCCAACAGTCTATAGCAGAGTAGATTAAATGAAACAAAGAGCAACCAAGCTTCAAGCCAGGTGTGGAACATCATAGTCCAACAGGAAAGGAAAAAGGAAAAAGAAGCAGGACTCAGATTTTCAGGGAATCCACTATGTGATCGGCAGGGGAGGGGAGCAGAGGCTAGGAGCATAGAAATGCTATGTGATGAAGTGAGGGCAGACAGCACCTTACATTTCTGGAGAAGCGCAGAAAAGCATGTATGGGGAGGCCACAGCCCTATCCAGACACACGATCAGAAAACACCTTCACCAGTGTTATAAACAAGCTGTCAAAAGTACAGAACCTAGAAAGGACTGAGCCAAGAGCAACCCTGTTAGAATTACAGCAGATTTATTAGAAATAAGAAATAGGAAGGAGGAAGCAGAATGGAAAACTCCAAGTCCTTAAAAGAAAAAGTCAAACAAGATTATTATGGTTTAGCACAATTATCCTTCAAAGTGAAGGACAAATAAAGACTCTGTAGGACAAGCAAAACCCAGCCAATCCTATGAGAGATGCTTGCGGGAATTAAGTATCCAGAAGTTAGACAGCTTCCATCACGATATGCTTTCATTAGCAGAGTAGATGTACACACAATAGGAAAATAGAAAAGAACCAAACATTATCAACACAACAAACCAACATAAAGATGAAGAGAGGAAAAATAAAGAATATTCATCTGCAAAAAAAAACTCAACAGAATGGAAGGCATAAATTCATACTTTTCAATAATAATATTGAATATAAGTAAGCTAAATTCTCCAATTAAAATATACAGATTGGTTGAATGAATTTAAAAACTCAAGACCCAGCAAATGCTGATGACATGAAACTAACTTCACAAATGAAGATCACACAGATACTGAAAATGAAAGGATAGAAAATGTTACTTCAAGCAAATGGATCAGAAGGGACAATAAAGGTCATAACATAATCATTAAGGGATCATTTCATCAAAAATAATCAACAATTATAAATCAATATGCACCCAGTGTTGTGATATTCAGCTACAGCAAACAAACGCTAGTAGGTCTAAACTGAGAGACAAGTTCCAGTGTAACAGTGGAGTTCAGCACTCCACTCCCATCCGTGGACATCACCCAGGAACAGCCTCAAGTTCAAAGTTAAAGTACATTACAGATGAGTGGACTTAGCAGAAATCAACATAACTCTGGATTCAATAGCTACAGAACACAGTCTTTCCCTTAGCCTGCGAACTTTCTTTACAATAGATCCTGATAAAACAAGTTTAACAAACTTAAGGTTAGGCTGTAGGTCACTGGTAGAATCCTCTCCAGTGGGTACGAGGCCCTGGGTTCTATTTCTAGCACCAAAGAGCCCCACCCATATTTAGGAGCCAGAGGTGTAACTCTGCATACAGTCCAACCCTAATGCCACAAAACAAAACACAAAAACAGAAAAGCAAGTTTAACAGCTGAAATCAAATCTCTATTTTCTGACCACAATGGAATGAAACCAGAAATGAGGAACAAGACAACTACAGGAGTTACACACTGGGCGGGAACTGAAGACACACCTCTGAACAAATCGTGTGAAAGGAAAGGAAAAAGTTCCTTAAAACTGTGAAAATGCAAACCAACCAAACAAGAAACCCAACATTCCAAGACCTGTGATCTAAGGCAAGAGCAGTATTAGGAGGGAAATCTGCAGAAACAGGGGCACACACTAGAAAAGGAAAAACCTAAGTCAATGATAGAGTTTTCAGCTTTTTGCACATGTAGTGTGTGTGTGTGTGTGTCCACATATGTATGGGTGCACATATGTATTTGTTGATATCTTTCTGGATTGTTCTCCACCTGATATCTCACTTGAACCCAGAACCCAAGGTTACTATTGAGCTTGCTCTGGGAATACCTGGTCTCCACCTTCCACACATGGAGGTGGGCTGCCACGCCTGTCCATGGGTGCTAGAGATCAAAACTCTGGCCTTCACACACAGAGTCCCCACCCATCCAATAACATATCTGAAGGGTTTAGAAAAGCAAGAACAAACCAAACCCAAATTTAGTAAGTAAATAGCAAAGATCAGAGCAGAGAGAGAGTAAAAAGACAACAAAAAAGAAGAAACAAGTTGGTTCTTTGAGAAGATAAAATTGACAAGTCTTTAGCTAGACTAACAAGAGAAGACTCAAAGTTTAAAAAAAAAATATGAGGCAATGTAGGTGGCACAAGGCAATAAATCCCAGCACCTTGGGGGTCTAGAGGCCTGGGTAGCAAGTCTGTGGACAGCTGAACTACACAGAAAAACCATCTCAAAAAAACAAAAACATAGAAAGAAACCAAACAAACGTGAGAAGGGATACATTACCACTGATACCACAGCAATACAAATGATTAGAGATTATTTTGCAATTAACACATTGAAAAACACTTCATAAGTAAAAAATCAGTGAACTATACATTTAATGAAAACAAACTTAAATTATAGTATAGCCCCTTCCTTTTTGAAGTCTTCATCTCTCTGAGCTTAAGTCCAGCTGCCTTTGGCCCTGGCTCCCCGCTTTTCTCATTCCTTGTTCATATATGAGTAGAGTCTGAGAATGATGTTCACCCAACAGCAATAACAATTATTTTCAGGGTAGTATTTGAGAATCTATATATTTAATGTACTACTGAAGGTTCTGTCTGTCAGCTAAAAGCAGTGTCTTCATAGGTAGCCCAGCTTGGCTGTGAACTCACTACGTGGTCAGGCTAACTTAGAACTCTGGCTCTCTCTGCCTTAGTCTCCTGAGTACTGCCATTGCAGGCTTATATCACCATGAATGGCTACTTAAATCCTTTATAATCAATAAACACAATATTCATTACTTCTGCTCAGAAAAATCAATCGTTTTCTTACAAACAGAAAGCAAAGAGCAGAAAATGCAAGATAAATTCCCCAAGGCCCTGATCCGTGAGGGCGATCCCCCAGCAGCACAAACTAAACACTGCAGATCAGGTTTTATTTTCATTTCATGGTCTCACGGAAGTCAGGGTTCACCCACTCCTTTAGACATGCTGGAAGTTGATAAAATGTGAACATGTCTCTATCTGTGGCTAAAGCCAGCTGTCAGCATCTTCCCGTCCTTTCTATTTCTCTCCACCGGAACTATCTTACTCGAGAAGGTTTTTTCTTCTTTCATTTCAAATGCTCCGATTCATCTGCTCTTATGTGTACACATATTTTTTTGCCCTCGAGCCATCTACTCTTTCCACAATTGCTGAGCCCTGTCATAAACATTTGTAGTCCTCTGACATCTACAAAAGGCAAAGCCATTCCTGGGTGTCGGTCCCTGTAGCTGACAGCCTCACATGCGGCGGCTCACAGAACCTTCTCCAGTTCCTGTCCCCAGTTTCACAGCAGAGAGCTTGGGGGATGCTCAGTGGTGTCTCATAATTAACCAAAGGCAGCCGCTTCCCCAAGCCTCACTTTGTAACCGCCACTACTGTCGGACTGCATAAATACTAAATGCAAAGGCACCATTAAAATAACATTAGGGTTCTGGCTGAAGCACTGACAGCTGTGCGCCTCTGAAGTCGAGATGAGGCAGCCCTGGGTGTTCTTTATCTTTCTGGGTACTATTTGTAGACTTTTCTGAATCCGAGGAATCATGCACCCACCTAGCCTTGTTAGTGGAGGTGGTTAGGGAGGCGGCCCCTTTACACGATGTTCTTTTTCCCCATATCTCCACACCGAGGCGCACATGTAAAATAGCATCTCCCAAGCATGTAGCAGACTGACCCCAGCTCCTGACTGAGGACAACTCCTGAAGGGCAGGTCTGTGACAGAGACCAAGGCAGCCTTGGACCTGCCGTGAAGACAGGAAAGGAGCAGATGGACTGGGGAGGCTACATGGTCAGCCAACATTTGGGGTAGACGCTCAGGGGAAAGGCAGACAATAGCTAGTTCTCCCAACAAGCTAAAAACAGAAGCAAACCCCTCTGCTGACCCTCTATGCTGCACTGTGAGCTTCCTCCCTGTGCCAAATGAAATCTTCCCGGATTCAAACTCGTGGTCACTTATACTTCAGTGATGAGATTCACTTAGTGATGCCATTTAGGTTTTACAGAAAACATTAGCTGGGACTGTGGAGCAATGGGAGTCTTCCGGGACTGTGCACGTACCTGCTTAGCTGCTGCCGAGGAAACCGCTTTACTGTCCAGCAGGTCCAGGAGCTCGGCCAGCGCACCAGCTGTGACAGGACTAGCGGCCCCAAGGAGAGAGGAAAAGTCAACATCTTACATCAGCAGGCACTGGTTGGCACCCAGAATTCAAACTCTCACTCTTGAGTGTTTAATCAACCATACCCAAGGATGAAAGTAATAGGCTAATTGGCTGTATTATTTTGTACTTTAGAAGTATGAGCTTTTATACTGCTGTGCTTTTTAAAATTCTTTATTTTACCACCCAACAATAACAGCTGTTTGATGGCAGTTATAGCAAAAGAAAACTGCTCAATGTGATTAGTTCAAAAAGGAGGTGGCTACGAAATTCACGAACCACAAAGAAAAGGGGTAAAAAAATCCAGTAATACTTTTGACTGAAAGATCAACCTGAAAATAACTTTAATCAAAAGAGCTAACAAAACCACTTTCCTGAGTGTCTTTATGCAAATATAAATTCCTTTTCACTGTAAGGGAAATGTGGTGTCAATATCATGGGATGTCTATATGCATTGCCCTTGTATACCTGCAGGTTCTTACTGGTGTTTTCAACACAGAACTATCTTGACTAAAGCCTAAGAGAGAGGCAGAAGACTGCAAAGGAAACAACAGCCTTTTCTGACAAGAAATAGTCAGTTTGTTTTCAAAATGTAGGTTGCTTGGATGCCCCACAATCACCATTTATCTTAGAGTGGAGACCACATATAGAGCCCAAAATAAGCACTGAGGATGTGCTAGGTTTTTAGAACATAAAAAGAGGTCACCATTCATAAGTCGATGACTGCCATGGTCCATCTGACCTGCTGCACCAGAGTGCATCGGGAGAGCGGCTGATAGGGAGAAAAGTTATTCTCCACCGTCTTCAAGGCTGGAAACTGAGATCAAAGTACCACCGAGCCTATATTTAGTGAGTTCCTGTCTTGTTGTCCCTGGTACCTTTTTCTGTGTCTTCACAAGAATTAAAGGGTAAACAAGTCCTTCAAGACATTTTGTAGAAAAGCACTAATTTTTTTTCCCTTTTTTATATTTTAAATAAAAAATGTTATTTAAAAGGTTTTTTTTTTCCATTTTATATACCAGCCAGAGTTCCCCCTCTCTCCTCTCCTTCCACTTCCCCCACCTTCCCACATCCAATCCTCAGGAAAGGTAAGGCTCCCATGGGGAGTCAACAAAGTCTGGCATATCAAGTTTAGGCAGGACCAAACCCCTCCTCCCTGTATCTAGGCTGAACAAGGTATCCCTCCATAGGGAATGGGCTCCAAAAAGCCAGTTCATACACTAGGGATAAATCCTGGTCCCACTTCCAGGGCTCCCCACAGACTGCCCAAGCCACACAACTGTCACCCACATTCAGAGGGTCTAGTTTGGTCCTATGCAGGTTCCCCACTGTCAGTCCAGAGTCAGTGAGCTCCCACTAGCTCAGGTCAGCTGTCTCTGTGGGTTTCCCCATCAAAATCTTGACCCCCCTTTGGTCATATAACCCCTCTTCTCTCTCTTCAATTGGACCCTGGAAGCTCGGTCCAGGAAAAGCACTAAACTTATTCCTCAAAGTTCCACATCCAAGACTCCATTTCCTAGGATTATAATATACGACTTTGGAGCACACACAAAAATTCATACCATGATGCTATAAAAGATGTGGGGTAGAGAGGGAGAGAGAAAGTGTTAGATCACATAAGAAGGATGTACTTTGCCTTACAGAAATTCATCACATGATTTTAACTGATCAGTTTGGTTAGAAATTTCCTCTAGAGGGTTCTTGACTGGTCTAACAGCAGACGAACTTCTCGGTCACACTGTTGCTCTCACAATGCATTGAGACAGTAGGCCAGTGATTCCTGTGTCTTGAAACTGCTCACAACTCGGACAACTGGCACACTGCACATACAGCTGCTCCTCAGCACCTACGGGTCTGGGAGCCGGAACACACTATCCCACGGATACCAAAGTCTGCGGGTGCTCATGTCCTTCATACATGGTGATATAATCATCGAGAACCTGTGTACACCTTCCCTATGCCTCAGGTAATTTCTTGATTACCTACCTAATATGATATGGCCGGTATGCAAACAGTTGTAAACTGTGTTGTTTAGGAAATACTGATGAGAAATGAGTCTGGACATGCTCACTGCTGTTGTAATTTTTCAGAGGTGTTTCCGATCTGTAGTTGGTTGAACCCCAGATATGGAAAGCTGACTGTAAACCGCGAGACCACGACAAAGATCAGTACCTGTCACACTGGTCCTGAGAGGCACTCCTCGTCAGTTAAATAAGTAAACCATCAGGACTCAGACTTGGTGGTGGCAGCAGCACAGCCTACTAATTTGCTGCTGTCAGATAATCTTGGATTCTGGACAGCTAATGTGTCTCCATGAAAGGAGACTCTGCCATCTCAAGGTTGAGCTTCCTGTACTCTAGTCTCATCAGTTCTTAGGCAGTGAACCTGGGAAGGAGTAGAATGGGATCTGCAAGCCTTGCAGTCCCTTGTCACAACTCCATTTCCAGCTCCAAGAGCAGACACCCTGACACTAAGCTCTACCCCATGAAATGACAGCCCATCTCAGTCTTACACTTAACCCCCATATCCCTCTTCTCCTCAGCTAAAGCAAGATCAAAAGGATCCTGGACGATGCAGAAGTCTGGACCTCCAGGTGGCACTTGCTGTTCATTGATTCTTTTGTTCTCTTATTTTCTGGGGCCCGACGGGTACCCCCCACTCCTAATATTCTCCAGGGTCTCAGACGCAGGACAAATCCTTAGCTATTTCCTAGGAATGCCAGCTGAGAAGTGCAGAGTTTTCCAGATGCTCTTCCCTCTTCCCACTGCACCTAGCCACTCCCACCAGCCCTGCACACAGCACTTCCCCCAAATCTTCCCAGGATTCTCAGCTCCCTTTTCAGGCAGCTTTAATCTTGTCCCTTGTACCTGCTCAAACCTTCCCTACTGGGAAACATCCCAACTGACCCTGCAGCTACTTGTCCGGATTGGCTTGGTAACTTTTGCAAGTAAATAACTGGTTAAATGAATAAACCTATGTTTGTTACCACTGGCCCTCTGTGAGCACATGTATTGGGATTGTACTCTACCCCTAAAGAGTTCTCTGAAAAACCACACCCTCACTAGCTGCTAAGAACCCCGCTTTCCTTCCTCATGTACCCTGTACCCCGACTCCAGCTACAGCCCTGAGAAAAGCCCTTATCCAGGGCTTCTTGGGTCTTTCTTCTTTCTTCCTGGCATCCCTCTTCCATTCCTTGCCTATTTACCCTGCCAGTTCAGTGCTCACTTCCTTGGTTCCCAGTGTCCATGGAAATATACAGCATTTGGTAATTGATAAACCAGATGTCAACCCACCAGAGGAATGACTGTGATGAAGATTAATCCTGCTTCAGGACCATCAACTCTGGAAACTGTCGTTCACTTTAACTAAAGCATCTTGGTGTCTCCCCAGTACCTGCATTGTAGTATAGTGTGTAATCTCATGTGATGTGTGTATGTAATCTCATGATTACATCTCAATCTTCTTGGTACATATATCTGTGGATGGTCAGGAAGATGACTTCTCATTTAGCTATATAGTTTTGATATATAATATATACTGGGACATGGTTCATAACTGAATCTGTTTGTCCCACAAGGACTGTGGACACTTAAAAGCCTGCCTTGTTCTTTTGCTCAGACTAACTGCACACAATTACCTCAAAGCAAATCCAAACTAGACTAAAGGCTTTTTCTAAACAGATCGTGAGTTTGGAACTTTGCAGCTGTGAACAAGGTCAGAGGTGCAGATGTCCAACCTAGGTTGCTACACAAAGCACCCTAAGAAAAGCTTGCCAATTCTTCACCTTCCAGTCTGCTCAAAGTTTGTCACTGGGGACTGCTTACCCCCACCCGTCTGGATACAGTTTTACTCCTGAAACCCTTGTGTTGCCTGTTGCCATGGCAACGGCTCAACTCCTAACTGCTTACCCTAGGAATGTGCTTTTGACCAATGAGCAATAACTATTGTAATTTCTTTATGGCAGCAAGGCTCCCCAGAGAAAAAGAGTTTTTAGGCTAGAAAGAAGAAGCTAGAACAGGCTGGGAGGAAGCAGAAGTAGGACAGAATTAGAGTAGAAGCAGGGCAGTAAAGGAACTGATTAAAAACAAGGAGTGAGAGATTCATTTGCGCTCAGGCCTTCTCTGATTGTTGCATCCTCTCTGAACCATGAGAGGGCCTGGAGCTGACTATCCAAAAGAGCCAGCTTGGTCTCCTTCATGTTCTTTGTCTCTCACCAAGCGATGAAGCCCTGTGAGGCAGTGGGATTCTGCCAGCAAGCCCATCTATCAACAGATACAGGCACTCAACCTTGGATCAGAACTGTGAGCCAGCATAATTCCCTTTGCTGTCCACGGTCCCTGGTCTGTGCTGACAACAGAAAAGGACGAAGGCACCCATCTGGCTAAAAGTCCTTTGAACTGTGGGTCTCTGGTCTCTTCATGTGATCTGGGATGACTCAGTACACTTATACTTGGATTGGAACACCTCGAAGCATTCACTATATGCTAGTGCTTCTGAACCCTTCTGAGGGAGCACTAGAGGATCCACGTTAAATTAACAGGCTAATTTCCCTGTTATGGCAGAAGCTGTTGAGAAGGCTGTTCAGAAAGTCTACTAAGGATCCTGTAAACACGTTACACTAGGGCCGGTAAGAGTTCGGAGGGTCAGAGGAAGGATATGTGAAAATGTGTGATCAGGGCAAGTTTCTAGACATGTGCATGCTGTCCAGACTCATCGGCTCAATCTTCATACCACACTGAAGACATTTTGTTGAAATAACTGACTGTGCGAAAATCAATCTGTATACAACATAAAAAAGAAAGAGAGACACAGAAAAATAGGCTACTCAGCAAACCTCCAATTCACAGACACTGAGTGGAGAGTCAGGGTGACCACCAGCATAAGGACACTGAACAGAGCAGGGTCTTGCCTGCTGAATCATCTGAGGGAGGTCATCTGACTTCATACAGCCTCAGTTGCCCCATCTGCTTAACAGAAGAGCTGAATCTGAGATACCAAAGTTCTCTCCCAAGATGACATTTAAGGAGCTCCACAAACTGCAACCATCAACATGGTCAAGAGATTTCAGCTACGGCTCAACTGTGCCCACCCCATAATATACATGCTGAAGCTGTGACCATCTGATATGATGGATTAGGATGGTGGAAACTTCGGGGAGTGCCTGGGGTTGGATGAAGTCACAAGGGAGGGTACCACAATGGGATTAGGAACCTTATGAGAAGAGACCAGAGAACCTTCTCTTCTTTCTCAAACACCCCACCACGTGAGGATGCAGCAGACTGACGGCCGCCTGAATTGTGAGAAATCAATGTCTATTTAAGGGATCCATCTTGGATACTTTGCTATAACTGCCCATCTATTAATACACGCCATGAAGTAGGAGTAGCCCTGAGACCCACAGTTTGACCTGAAATCCTTCGGGGTGGCTCCTGGCCATCGCTCCAGTCTGTCACCTACCTTTCCAGCCTGCCGATCTCAATACCCCGGAGCCTTTGGGCTTTCTGAGCTCCCGTGGCTGGCTGCTTGTCATGGAACTTCTAGATGTTTGTACTCCATACCCTCACCCACTCAGCAAACCCAAAGTTCTTCAGGGCTTGGATCTCGAATGACTTCCTGAGGATTTCCCTGCACCCCACATAGGCTCCAGTTCTGTGCTTCCCAGGCCACATGCATGCCTCTGGCATAGCAGGATCAGACTGAGGAGGTGGATGCTTTCTTGTGGCCTTGTATGGGCCACAAGTGAGTCCATTTCTCCTCTTGTTCTTCCTCCAGCTGCTAAGCCCTAGCACAGTACCACAGACTGTGCGCTTCCAGAGATTTGAGCACAGGATGAATTTTCAGATAGGCTGGATAATATTTTTAGAATGTGGAACACAAAGGGGCTGTTTGTTGTCTTGTTAGGGGACCCTAAGGGAGAACAAGCAGAGTAAAGAATTCACCCTGCCCTATTTCAACTGCCTCTGGACACAGAGTTCATGATGCAGAAAGAAAGAAATCCCCAGACCTCACTCACCTCTCACTGACTGCAAGATTCTGTTGCTTTAAATAGTACAGAAAAGTGTTCAGGACCCAATTAGTCACCTTTTTTGGCTCTGCCCTAGTTTCTTTTATCACATTTTGGAAGAACTCCAGGAGGCCAACTTCATTCTGTTAAAAAAAAAAAAATTACACATATATACGTGTGTGTATGTGTGCGTGCACATAAGTAATACATCCATATAGAGATAGATACGTACATCTCGCCAAACTGAAAGCAGACAGTTGGATACCATGGCCTCTACAGCCACTCTGAATCTACATAGTATTTTCCCCAAAGAAATATATACATATTCCTAGTACTATATAAACTAGTACCAGTTTCAGGGGCCCGAGGATAGTGAAATCCACTGTCCTCCACATTTGCCTCTGCCACTTTGGTGCCCTTTCTCTCTCCTGTCCTGTCCCCTTCTGGACATCCTGATGTCCACTGGCAGAAAGGTAACAAGTGAAGCATAACCACATGTATTCTTCATGTTGTCCCGGGAGGCAATGGTGCTGGAATGTTCCAAATCAAGCAAGGAGATGTGTATACGTGACCCAGCGAAACTAGCTCCACAGTGGGCAGAGGAAGCCTCTGGCTTCCAGGCCTCCTGAGCCCGGCTGGTACGGTGGTCTTACCTCTCCCCCTGCTCTAGGAGATATTTAGCTAGGTTGGCTCAATGAGTAGACTTGTTTCATGGGCTTTACTGTTTGTCCCCCTCTGGACGGCAGCATGAGTTAGGGCCACCCTGATCCTGTTCATTCTGTTAAGTACAGTCAAAACCATGTTGTGCCTACTGTAAACCACATCATCCTTTTCCTGCTGCATTCTCCTTTAAGTATTAGGGACCGCCAGAATTGCGCCAGCGAGTAGCCAGGACACTCATTACATTGTAACTACTCATCAGTTCAGAGTGACAGGGCTAGCCCTGGAGTTTCTGTAAGAAAAATACAAATATGCTCTATTTTTAGTAAAAGCTTAAATCTCCAAATGCAAATGGCATATTTTAAAGGTTTAAGTCGTGTGTGTGTGTGTGCGTGTGTGTGTGTGTGTGTGTGTGTGTGTATGCAAAGAAGTCAGAGGTGATGTATTCCCTGGAGCCGGGGTTATATAGACGGTTATTCCAAACTGAGTTGTGGAAAGTGACCTCAGGTCTTCTGCAAGAACAGAATGCACTTTTAACCACTGAGCCATCTCTCTGGTCCCCAGACAGTATATTTTTAAGCAGTATATTTTCCTTACCCGCTAAAATCCAAATCAGACATTATCCTCAAAATATTCTTCTTATGTTCACTCTGCAGCTAAACCTCCAACCTTTCCCCCTTTCTTAGAATCCTTCCTTAAGCAAAAGAACCTTCTAGAAAAACAAGATACTAAGAAGAAACAAGATATACTAACAAAAATACACTGAAACTTTAGCTACTGTACAAGTTTTAGTATGTACACAGGCATACTGCTGCTAAGGTAGAAATCCATAATAAAAAGTACCTGCATGGCTTTTCAGATAAATTCTCTGGTGACAAGCCTACTGAATAATCCCACAATCATTGCTTACATCTCCTTGTGAGCTATCGCTATTATTCTGCTCATGCTAAACTAGGGCGAAGGCCACCTCAGCAGCCCTGACTTGCCTACAGATAAATTTAAAGAGCAAGTGTTGCTTAACTTCTGGAAAGTCTTCAAACTTCTCCACTGGTTCAGGAGTCATTGGGGAAGGAAAAAAGGGCGATGCAGCCCACACGGGGGAGGCAGGATTCCTTTTGTTCTCACACAGACAGGCTGGCCACCAGGAGTCAGCTGCCAGGAGCCTTGCGAGGAAAGCGCTACAAAACCCACCTAGGAATCATGCATTCAGGCTTGCAGGTTTGGAGGAGTGACTGGGTGTGGTGAACACCCTCCACCCTTGGGTGAGTCTATTGGCCTGGTGGAGTGACTGGGTGTGGTGAACACCCTCCACCCTTCGGTGGTTCGGTGGTTCTATTACTGGACAGAGAGCACTGTGAGCCAGTTTTCCATTTGTCTTCTACCAATGCTATCAGGAAGCCTCTCTGCGCTGGACCTCTACCTCACAGGGGACACAGGGTTTCACTGCAGAACTTGAAGAGGATGTGAGACCTGCAATGCAACAGAGTTAGCTACAAAGAGTGCGGCTGCAGGAGGCGGCTGCTGCTGCGACCTGGGGAATTACTGATCACTTAGCACTGCATAGGGACTGCCTGCTCTGCTCCTTAAAACGGCAGTTCACTTCCCAACACACTTCCCAACACACACACACACACACACACACACCTGCTGCTTTTCACAGTTTTCTTAGTCCCACAAGATTGGCAAATGCTAATAAGCTTGGCACAAATCTCTGAAGTCTCTGATGAACATGGCAGCTCAGCCATCTGGTTTTGTCAGGAAAACAGTGGACTGGTAATTCTCTTACACAAAAATCATATTGAGAGCAGTATAACAAGGTTACTGCATTAGGCCTTTAATATCTTCCCCAAACAACAAAACCCAACCACACAGCAAGCCAAGTCTCCTGGTGGATGTGACTCCAACTGTTCCTTCAGAGATGGCTGAAGCAGCAAGGAACATAGATCCTGTCTTATGTATAACACCACGCAGCCATACAGTTCTTTGACTGCAAAACATCTTTGCCACTTTTTATTTCATTTCTCAAAGCCTTCAATTACACACAGAGTTAATGTCAGGTCAGTTGCTTAGACACTAATAGGAACCCTCAATTACTGATGGATTTGCCAGTTAACCAATGCTGATGAGAGGTAACCTTGCCCTCACTGCTGCTCTGGGGAGAAGCCTCAGTTTGCCCTTGCACTAGGCTCTGCGAGCAACATTCTCCTACACCATCTCTTGTACTCTCCCTTCAGCCATAATAAGACACTGGAAGACCATCCAAGTAAAACAGGGTGGGGACTAATCTCTTAATTCTATGTCTTGCTCTAAGTCACAGACCCTGTGACCCTGATTCTGGTCCAGAAACGAGGCTAGGCTGTATTTATAGGTTGAATGAAACACGATCCAGACAGCTGCCCAGTGGTACGCAGGAAAAAGGCCCAGGAGACACTAGCTGAAGAGCAGCTGTTTTCGGGACAGGGAGTGTCCTTGGCTGCCTTTTGGGACCTGGGATTAGCAATTCAAGGCTGGTCAAAGGCTCTCAAGAGTATTTCCTAAATATGGGATTTGTGCTTCAGTTCATCAAGACCACGGGGGATATCTGAAACCTCAGGCAGTGCTAACCCCTGTGGTTTTTCTTAAACACATATACCCATGATGCCTAATTTACAAATTAGATGCAATAAGCAACTAACAACAAAACAGAACAGCCATAACATACTGTGATAAAAGTTTTTTTTTAACTTAAAAAAAAACCTTTTTTTTAGGATTTCCCATTTGCCATATATGTTTGGAGCACAGCTGAATGTAACTCAAACCTTGAGAACATGGATTAGGCGGGACATAACTACTGCTCTTGTTAGACACAGATAACAGCAGTGGTGCTTTGCGCAGCTGCATATGGCTGCTACTGCTAATGACAATAATGCAAGTGCCCTCAGGTTCATGCTTCCTGCTGTGGGATATTTGTACACGGTGCGTGAAGATGGATTGCTGTGACTGGTGTAATAGAAAGCTGAACGGCCAATAGCTGGATAGGCAGGACCTCTGGGCAGAGAGATAACTCTGGGAAGAAGAAAGGCAGAGACAACAGACTTGGAGGAAGGAAATGGGCAGTACGGAGATGAGGTAACACCACGTGTCAGAATGTAGATTAACATAAATGGTTAATTTAAGTATAAGAGGTAGCTGAGTCAAGCCTAAGCAAAGACCAAACTTTCATATTAATAACAAGTGTCCTTGTCATTATCTGCAGCCTGGCGCTCCTGGTGAAAAGGTACTACTACACTTCCTGTGTGGTTTTATTCACTCCCAAGTGAGTGAGCCGTGGGCACAGGATCAGGGCCTTGCAGATGAAGGCACTGAGAAACTTCTGTTCATGACGTCACCCAGCCAGACAGCAGCAGAGGGCTGCAGGGTGGGAGTGCAGGGTGGGCTCTCCGGCTCTGGAGGGTGGAGGCATGTCTGCTGCCTTTCTGGGGATTGAAAATGAACACCTATCAATGCAGGCACAATGGAAGCCTCAGCTAAGAACAGATGTTTCCGGAATTTCTATTATTTTATGTCCGCCAGCTGCTCAGTGATTCCCAATATTAAAATGTCACAGATACCCCAACCAGTTGGCTTAGGAACTAGAAGAAGGAAGCAGTGAGGTTACTATCTGCCTAGCAAAGGTATGCCCAAGACGCGGGGCACAACACATCAATCCCCAGATCAGGAGGGAAGACAGTGGAACACACCATTCATTCCACCCTGGACTCTAGAGGACAATGCAGAAATCCCATGTGCCTCTTTTGCAACACCTCCCTCCCCTCAACTATAGAAGGGATGAGGCGCTCACCAAGGCCCTGACCTATACTGTTTTTAAGTACTCCATTTTCTTTCATCAGTTTGGATACTAAGCACACTCAACCCCTACCACAGGGAAGTCAAGGGGTGGGTCTGTAGGTCACAGTTGATAGCAGCCAGTCAGCTACCAAGGAGGCCCTGCCCCTGGGCTACATGAGCAGCAATGGTTTCTTCCACTGTGCACTGTGTGGAGTTCAAAGCGGACTTTGAGCCCTGGTGACAAGGATGTGAGGAGCAGAGCTCTGAACATCTGTGCAGATGTTTAAGGCACATCACCTGCAATTCTGAGATTCTAGTTTATACTAGTGGCTCTGGTCTTTCTTACAAAGTGTGAAAAACAAAACTCAAATCCAGCAACTCTATAAATCATAGAATAACACCAAATGCTAGTGTTAGGGGTGGAGATGAAGTAAAATGGGCTATAACAGCAATACTTTTAGGCCAGAAAGTAGAAATTGCATGGTAAGATGGGGGAGTGGAACATTCAGGTGGTAGTGGCTCACGTTTGTGATGTGAACATGCTTGTCTCTGGGTGACAATCATCGGTGAAAGCTCCTGCGAGTGACAAAATTACACACGAGGTTTCTCCAGGGGAAAACAAGCAACCTGGCAGTGTGAGGCTGGCCTAGGAAACAGGACTCTCTCTGGGAAGACGGACGGATGGAAGCCAGAGTGCTCTGAACCACTGCCCCAGCTGCTCCACATCAGCGCCATGAGCCCTGGATGTGCCCGCCAGCTCTTCTGAGGGAGACCACTAACTGCAGCTCTGCCTTCTCTTCTGGTCCTCACAAGTCCTACCCAGGGCTGCTCCTAAAACCTGAGCGAAACTCTCAACCACGTCACCTGTGCTGTGCTCCCAGAAGAGTCTGGAAGTGCACATATGCTAAGCTGAACCCAGCAGCAGCTCTGTGCAGAGGGCCTTTAACTAACGTAAAACTCACTTTGGCTCTTGGAGATGAATTTAGACTAAGACAGAATTTGTGGGACATCAGTTTGGGAACACACATCTCTCTTGAATAATCAAAATATAAGCAATGACGGTCATAAGGGTCAACAGCGGAGCGGCAGCAGGCACTGCATCTGCAGACGCATCCCAGCTCGTCCAATGCAGAGACCTGCGTCGCTCAGAAGCTCTGTGCTGGGGTACAGGCAGCATGGAGCAGCACAGATACACATCTCCTCCAAGCTTTGCTTGCCTCAAGCCTGAAATAAAATCTTTTTATTTGTTCCTCAAAATATATCGTGCCACAAACAGGAAATAAACGATCAGGACTGAGTCCTAGGCCTTTGAGGGCCCCCAAATCGGGACTAGGACGCCCCACTTCCTGTACCTTTTTATCAGCAGACAAAGGTCAAATGCCTTGGAGCCCAGAACACCCTTCCTTGAAGTCCCTTTGCCACGTGTGTTGGAAAGGAATGAAGCTGTGTTTTGCAGAAGATCTGTCTACTCTAAATTACCAGAAGAAAATTTTGGTAATTTTTTTTTTTTCTCCAGAGCATGGAGTAATTGTAAAGTACCCTTAAGCTGGCAAGTCAGGATGCAATTTAGAAAATGAAGAATAAAATCAATTTTAAAAACTGTGTAGAGCTGAAATATGGTGTGTTACTAAGCTGACCAAATGGATTTTCTTCAGCAGTAGTTAAAGATGACGACTTTGCACCAGGAGAGCCTGGACAGTCTAAAGCCAGTCATTGTGGTTCCAGATACGATTTCAAACTATTAGCTTTAAAGCATACCACATATGGGACGTACAGAAATTTGTCATGGGGGCAGGTTTATGGGCAATCCATCCAGAAAGCAAACCAGGCCCTTTCTAGCTTACAAAAGATTTAAAGAAAAAGCTTCAAAACCAGCTCATTTACCAATTAACTGATACTTTGTTTCTCTGTCCTTGGGAGACATATTAACCTTTTCTATGATGTCAGAATCAAAGGATTATTACTTTCAATGGAGAAGGACCAGCTAGAGTAAAGGAAGCTGTCCAGTCAGATACAAGTCTTGAGGAGGCTGAATACAAAGCCTGACACACATAAATGGTAGCACCGGTTACTAATTGGGTAGGTGAGGGTGACATCATATTTGTCTACAGATTCATGGAGGCCAGACTGGACTTTTATAAACTCCCGCTCTGCATGGTTCCCACTGTGCCATGTCTGCATGTTGCCTGATACCAACACTCTTTTCCCTGGAAGCACACTCTGAAGTTGCCTTAACTCTTTAGAATTTTTGGATTCAGTGAAGATTCTGCTAATGCCATCCCCTCCTCTGGGGGAGTTCTGACTGACTGCCTGTGTCGGATGTGGATGGGACTACTCAAAGTGTGGAGAGTAACAGGCCAAGCAGGAGTCTGTACAAAGGGACAGGACACCAGCAGGTGCCGCAGCCCTCCCAAGACCCTGGCCCAGGGCTGCGGCACCTGCTGCTCCTCTACTGCGGTTCTGTGGGGTGAGTCATCTCTCTGTGTTGTTCACATGCACGGCCAGCTGCATGAGAGCTCACAGCACGTCCTGACTGGGTGCCCAGAATGAACCAGGCTCAATAATACAGGGCCTCAGGGAAGCACCTCCACAATCACTACAAACTGCCCCCAATAACTCAGACCAAAGGACCCATGTATCTCCAACAGGAAGTTTAAGATACAACATAAACAAAGATGCAGAAGACAGCTCATGTTATCTCTCTGACCTAATTTTTTCACTTGGAAAAATCAGCATGACTGGTGCTGTTCATTTTCCATTGCAGCTGACTGATTTTCACAAAATTTAGTAGACAAAACTTATGTTTATTTCTAGCATCTTCAAATCCAACAAGATTGGCTTAAAGCTTTCAATGAACATGTACTTTCTGATTGAACTTCATAAAAACTATTCTGGGACTGTATTAAACATCAAGTTTTAGCAAAAGTAAAAACTCAATTTTCTCCACTAATGAAACAAAGGCAATCAACACGAGTATAAAAGTTCCTTTCCCCGTATATAACAGACGAGCAGCTACACCTGCCTTGGGGGCTGTCTGAGCAAATGCGGTAAGGAAGAGCATGCTGTAAGTATACCGCCTTTAAACTTTACAGAAATGGCTGCCATCCCTTGTGTCCCCTGAACAAGACAAGACTCCCAGCTAGGAAGTGATGTTCCCATGAAAATCAGTCCAGAACATTTTGCGTAGCATAGACCTCTACTAATTCTAGCTGCTCTTCAGGATCTCTGGTTTCCATGGCCCTAATCCCTAAGTCTCAGCTTCCACATTTCTACATTAATCTTTACAAATGAGACTAGAAAGTAAGCCAATTTGACTAGGATAGGGAAGAAGGTCAGCTAAATAACCTGAAGTCTTCAGTGGGTCAAGATTCGGATGTGGGTAGAGAAAATCAGCACACAGGTTTTCTTTTGAGAGGGGATTCTCAGGACAGCTAAGAGAGAAAACCAGACTCAGGACAATCTGCTAACGAAAGCTGGAACTAAGCGTCTGAGACCAAGTGACCTGAGACATGACACGACCGAAGCAGTCGCTTGTGTCTTCTCACCAAAGACGCAGTGACACACACATAGTCCCACAGTTTTGCTGGGTTGTCAAAGGGTGGTTTATGTATCTGGTCTTTGGAAACTGTCAGAACACTACTTCTCTAAGGATGTTCACATGCAATACAACGGTATCCCCTTCATTCAGTCATCTGTCTGTCCAGGCAGCGAGGCATACTATGTGCTTGGTAAGACAGCAGATGCTAAGGTGTATTAGCAAAAGTTCTGTAAATGTCAGAGATAATACTAACAAAACACAATTCAGTGTTTGGTGCAAAGGAAAATGGCAAGATAAATTAGAAGTGAGTTAAATTCTGAAGGGTTTTATTTGTGGGGAGTGTGTGGGGGTGGTGTACGCATGCACTAATCATTAAATAAGAAGCCCAAGGGCTCTGAGCTGCAGTGGAAGCCCTGAGAGCGCACCTCTACCACTGCCATTTATTTAATGAATACTCCTGGGCACTCTTTAAATTGAAAGATGGTTCATTAGATTTGTGCATCTGCCCTTCTCAGCAATCTGTTGTGTTTCTGATGAAGGCAGGAAAATATGAACATATCATTTTCGGGAATGTTAGGAGTGACTCAGCTTCCAATGATTATGGAGTCATAAAGGGATCAGGCTGCCTAATTTCGAGAAACAATTTGTCTGAATCATTCTCTGTTCCAATCTTGGGTTCTTATTCATCCTGGAAATCTCAAGGACAGGCCCTCTTCTCTTTGTGTTTTACAAGTCACCCAATGCATCAGCTTCCATCTACAAATATTATGTCTTAAAGGTACTAAGTTCCAACATCTTGTTCACCATCTCCTATGGCTTCTACACTCTGCTCATCTACTGCAGTCTCCCAGGGAGCTGATCAGCCATAGTGTCGGGAATAAACGGACACACTCTGAAGGTGCCTGCTACCCTGGAGAGTTACTTTTCCCTACACAGTTCATGAACTGTTCAGACAGAGTCACCCATTTGCTACTGTCCTTCACAGCACTCAGTCAAGGCCTGCTGGGTTTTGGCCTGGGGAAGACCAAGACACACAGAGCTTATTTCCAGAAAAGCGAGGCTGACACATTTCAGGGGCCAAGCGTGACAATGTTGGGAGTTGCTTTTTAAGAACAACTCAGCCAGGAGTAGATTGCCTAGTGTACTATAAACCACTATATTGTGGTTATTAAGTATATAAGTATATAGAATATATATATTCTAATACCCCATATACTTATTATTGGATCATTTAAAAAGCAAGAATCCAGTTTCTACAGGTTTTGTTGCTCTGGAAGATGACAGGAGTTCAAGGCCAGTCTAGATTACAAACTGTCTCAAAATCAACAAAGCGACTTCCCGGTTTCTCCTGCTGACAAGACGGTGACAGCTGTGACAGAATGCAACCCCCACTGAGGCTGCCTCACTTTACTGTTGCCATGACAAAGACATCCACAGTCTCAAGAGTGAAAGGATTGAAAACCCCACGCTCCCTCACAGGTATCAGATTCTCTGATGGCCAGGCATCCCCTAGCTTCACGGGACAGAGATGTGTAGTGGTTTGCAACATTTTATACAGGATAAATGTTTTCTGGCTTTGGGAACCTAACATCCTGTTATGGATCAACACTATTAAGACATCTAGAAACTTTAAACATTGATTTTTTTTTTTTTTTTTTTTTTGGTCCTGCAGACACACTCGTCCTGGGAATAGCTTGAAGGTTGTCTCCTGCAGGTGGGTGTGTACATACTGTCAAGGGCAGCAGGTGAGGGGCTGTGCCTTCCCCTTCTAAGAGGTGTCTGGAGAAGGAGTGGAGAAATGGGCCTGACAGTGCAGGATCCTCCAGTCTGCTGAGCGGGGTTAATGTCAAACCCAATGGACACTTACCAGCAATGCGAAGCTGTGCTCTGGCAGCATCCCATACTGCTGGACAAGCCTCTCTCTGGTTGCACTGGGGAGCTCCGGGAGTGTGTCCCGAAGCTGGTCAATATTGATCACCTGCTGGGAGTCTGCGTCTGAAGGCAGCGATGTGGCGTCGTAGAGCACCAAGGGAGGCAGGTTGGGCTCTGGCATAAACCTGAACAAAGAGAACAGATGGATCTGATTCTGGACGTCTGGACTGATTAGAACCGCAAATCCAACAATGATGGGAATGCTTCTGTGCTTAGGTACAAAACCAGAATACTTGCAAAGGTTTCTGAATGTCCCAGTGAAAAACTGCACAGCAAACCCGTTCTTCACCATGAAGGCATAAAGACGGGTGAGAGGGTGACATGGAACCAAGCTGCATCCTGGCTTATACTAGTGAGGAAAGTGTCGGCCTGGAAACGGAAGGACAAACGAGAACAATTTCCTTGTGAGGACAGATGACTTCCCTACTTTAAAATTGTGGAAGCCAGTGGGGTGGTAAGAGAGGTGAGGAGGTAGACCCTGGGCCTCTATGGACAGCTGTGAGTGAATGAGGCCCAGCGTAAACTATGATCCCAGTGACCAATAAGCAGCAACACTGGGTCACCAGTGCCGTAAACCACACTGAGTGACCGGAGACGGGGGAGATATACATGAGACGTCACTTTCCATTCAACGCTGCTCCAAAAGACGGTCAGGTGTTAATATCAGATGGACTCCAGTACCGCGCTCATCTTACAAAGGAAAACACTCCTTTGTTCTGCCCCAGCACTGCTCTCCCTCTGCCCAGAGCCAAAGGACTTCTGCAAAGCAGGGCAGGTCCATAAGTGCAGGGAGGAGCTAGATTAGAGGTGCAGGTAATTCCTCAGTGCAGGACCAAGTCTCAGCTATGGGCTATTCTGTCCTCTGAAAGCCAGGGCAAACTCAAGAGGGAGGCTTCTGGAGACTTGCTGCAGTCTAACTTGGTAGAAGGTGCTCTCCATGGTCAGGAAGAAACCATAGGGAGCAATAACAGGGAGAATAAAGTACTGTGGGAAAGTCTGGACCTAGATCACCGTAAGAAAATGGCAGGCAACGATCGCAGTGTGGCAGTGGTGGTACACCAGGCTTCACCAAGGAAAACCATGTGAGTTCCAACAGCTTTGTAATCTGCTAAACTCTGCGAGAAAAAGTAAAAGGTTCACTCTATCTTAAGTCTATTGTTATTGATTTAAGTGAAAGCCTTCTGTTACATAACAGTCCCTCCGGTTTAAGAATGGAACCCAGAACCTCTTACATGATAGGTGAGTATTCTACGGATGAACTAGTGGCCCCTAATTTGCTTATCTTCGCAATGAAATAGAATCATCTGAGGTCTGAGGGAACTGTCCACTGACAGGCTGATCTCTTTTTCATATGCTTCCAAAGGATTTCAGTAGATTCCAGAATTACTAGCAAATGAAAGCCTAGACCTTCCCTCACCTGCCATCCTTAGTTAAACAACAGTATCTTTGTTACAGAAGTCTATGAAGGTCTCTCCCAGCAATTGACTTCCTATTAAACAAGGAACTCTGCACCTACCAAGTCTAGAAAATATCACTTCTCCTAGTTTACATATAACATTAAATAAGAAATCTTGATCTCTATCATATAAAAACAAGTAGTTCCCCACATTCTCCAGCATCATCATGCTGGTTTTCCAATGGATATGAAATACACTCCCAAATATCTGTCGGTATTGTGCATGAGGAACAATCACCTGTAGTCTTGTTTGCCTTCTTTGTCTCTCATTGGCACGGTGCACCTGCAACAGTCGGAAAGGCAGCACTAAGTCAACCCTGCATGCAACACTGGCTATACCACATGCAGAGAGGGGACGCTCTATGGGCTGGAGGGCAAGCATTTACTGCAAAGGCTGGGGTTAAAGGTTTGGTCCTATTAAGAAGAGGGAGAAACCTTAGAAGTGTCCGAAAGAGATGGCCCAATGGAAGGCCTTTGGGCCATTAGAATATGCCCTCAGAGGAGGCTGCGGAACGCTGGTCTGATTTTGTTTCCTAGTGTGCTTACTTTCTTCATGCTTACCAAATACCTGGTAGAAACAACTCAGAAGGGAAAACACGTACTTATTTAGTTTTTAGCTTCAAAAATATTAGTCCATCATGGTGGAAAGGTATGGCAAAGCAAACAAAAAATGGAAATACAGGAACAGAGAGAGTAAGATATATACCCAAGGACACGCCCCCAGAGACCTAGTCCTCCTAATAATGCCATCATATGACTCCATGAGGGGATTCATCATTCATCAAGCTAGGGTCAAATGGTCTAATGGTCTCTGGAAACACATCAGACACACCCAAAGGTGTTCTTCACTAATCTAGTCAAGCTAGCAATCGAGATTGGCCAGCACATTGGCAAAGAGGTAAGGAGTTTAGCCAAACCTGTGCTTGGGACATGACATGCTACCAAAGGCCAAATCAATCAGTCCGAAACCTTTGAAGTCGTGAGCAAAATGAACTCACACTTTTTATAAGTTGACCAACTCAAACATTCGCTATAGTACCAGCTGCCTGGCATCGGGAGTTCTCAGTCAATGACAGGCAAACCCGAGGTCTTCAGTTTTCCAAAGGATTCTATTTCCATCCTATGGAATGGGCCTCCTAACTCCTAGGGCTCTCCCATCTTACATAAACAAAGAAAAATGCTTATAAAGATAATTTTGTAAAAACAGAAGCCAACTGCTTCAATATTTTGTGTCTGTGTAGACAGGGACTGAACCTGGGTTCTGAAGCATTGGCAGCGCACATTCTATTGCCAACCCAACCCCAGCCAGCTTACACACAACCTCTATGGACTTGTGAGCATTCTTTGGTATTTTACTTAAAGTACAAAATCTTAAAATTCAGACTGAGAAAAATGAGGGCCCATGTTATCTAAACAAGCACGGAAAGAGTGTATGTGGTGGTTTGAACGAGAAATGCCTCCCAGAGGCTCTGGAATTTGAACACTCGGTCCCCAGCTGGCAGTGCTGTCTCGGGGGCAATGCAGTCTTGCTGGAGGAAGGGTGTCACTTGTGGTTCACAGCTTTGCCCCACTTCCAATTTGCTCTCTTTGGTTCGTGTTTGTGGTTGAAGGTTTGATCTCATGGTTTCCCGCTCCAGTCACTTAAGGTTCTGACTCCCTTGCTGTTACGGGTACTGCCTTTGGAATCACACGCCAAAGTAAACTCTTTCTTCCATAGGCTGCTTTTGATCATAGTGCTTTACCATGGCAACAGAAACCTAACTGTTAAAGCATCTGTACAACCTCTCTTAGCCGTTTTCTACATCAAGCTTAGGCTGTGAGAAGTCTCACAGATTGAAGCAAAGGGAAGCAAAGGGAAGCCTGGGGCCTGAGTCTAAGCACTTGGGTGTAAGCTTGGGTCGGCTGAACTCTATGGTCCCAGAAGACCAGGTTTCACCCTACGCGGTGCAGTGGTCTCCTCTCTTACGACTACAGAGAAGCTGAAGCTGTGGTAAGAGGCTTATCAATACAGACTCACCCCAGCTTATAGTCAAAGGAACGAGTTTCATTCAGAACTTCACCTCCATTCTCAAGTTCAGTGATTTGTCTCTGAATTTCATAGTCTATAAAAAAATAGCAAGTTAGTATAATTTTGAATCCCTTTTATCCATTCAAGTAATAAATAGAAACCATCCTCAATCCTTAAGTTAAAGGGGAAAAAAGTCAAGGAGATTGCTTATGCTGATCATTCCCTTGAGGGCTGTAGTTTCTTCTCACAACTGGGAAGGGCCTGAGAAGGTCATCTCTTCCCTTCTCCTCTCTCTTTTTCAGACACCTCAGCTCAGAGAGATTAACATCCTAGCACAGCTACAGACCTTGGTAGAAGGGCGGGGACTCCTGTGTAGGACTCCTGACTTGTGCTCCAGGACAGTGACCTATTAGAATTCCTATCCTGGGACCAGCAGATGGGTCACAAGGAACCCTGATAACCCTCAAAATTTATACATAAAATACGGATGGAAATGTATGTGTACTTTTGGAAAGAGAATAATTTTCATTTTATTTTCAGAATATCTGTGACCACTGCTCCGTAACACATGCCCTCATTACCCAACAGATTAAACAAACTGTGTCAATCAACACAGCCCAACATGACTGAGACACAGCACAACTGCTAGGCTCCTTTGCAAAAGGAAGCCTTCCCAACCTCCCACCCCGTGTTCCCTGCTTAAAGCCACACCTTTTAATCCCACCTCTCTTACCCAGATGTTCTCCTTGACTGACATGAAATGATGGCTAAAAGGGCCACCATGATTTGAAAAAACCTGGTGGGAAAATTGTAGGCTTGAAGAATTAAGCCCACTGTGGAAAGCTTTGGTTCCGCTAGGCTTTGCTTGAACACAGGTAGAATTCTGACTATTGCTCTAGAAGGCAATTTATATAACAAAAAAAAGGTTAGGGACAACTAAAAAATACCAAGGGCTCCTCTGTGCACTGTTCCAGCCTTGGGTTGGTTACTGTCGCCACCTTGTAGATCAATGCAGCCCTCAACATGGCACACCCAGGCTAAAGGCAAACGTCATCCCACCTGTCCCCAGCCTTCACAAACACAGGCCGCAAGCACGAGCCTCTCCCCTTACCTCTTTGGTGGCTTCAGAGAGTGGACTATGTCCCTCCTTACCCCATCCTGCTGCTCCACGAGCAAATCCTTGAACCATTTGAATACCTTCTCTCTAAAAATATGTTCCTTTAAGTGTCTTTATTAAGGCTAGCTAATCATTTCAGGTTTGGGACACAAGATTTACACAGGTGAGAAAAACCTCTTCTGAACTGCATCATTGCTGTCCCCCAGAGACCAGTGTCCACTAAGCACCTTGGTTTCAGCAGTGTGGAGGCGACACCAGCAGGCTTGCTGCCTGTGTACTCCTGACAGGGTTCGCTTTTAAGTTACCCCTCCCTCTAGGGATATCTCTGGCTTTAAAATCTACTGACTCTCCTGAGATGTCCTCCTCTCAGACTATTTCTAGCTTCTGTGGGACTGACAATAGAGCTAGCCTGCTCTACATTAGCTACTATTGTACACTTGTCATCAGTGAAATGCTCACTGTATGCCCCACGAAACCCAACCTTGACTGTACAGGCACACGCAATATATTAGCTGAAAATGGTAAAAAGTAGAAACTATATTCAATCTAAAGGATGAACCTGACATCATAAAGCACATGATATGTGGTAGAACACAATTACCATATTTTATAAATCCTCCTAAAGCAGGTGGAGTCTATTTCCTTTCCTTGGGTCTGGCTTGAATTCAAGATGCTTTGAAAGAAGTGTTTCAGAAGTGACACTGTGAGTTGGGTTCTAGAGTTGAGGGCTCATGTGAACTTTGAGGCTTAGGCCTCTACCCTTCTGGGATCCTTCACTAGCAAATGCAAAAGTCTGGGCTAGACAAGGGAAGCACAAAAGGTCACGTGGGCTGGAGAAGTCTCACGTCACAGGGCACATCACAGGGCCCCACGTGACTGAGGCCGTCTCAGATCTCTGCTCCTGCTAACCTGACAGTTTCTGGAGCTGCAGGCATGCGCAGAGGCAGGTCTGGCTGAACTATGAGAACTATCATTGCTGCAGTAGCCACAGTTGTACATCACACGCGGCGACCGATACACAGAGGGACACAGTAGGAGTTGGAGTTGACATTCACCTATGGCTTTGGCCAAGAATCTGAGGCTGTTGAGATTCTTCACTTCAGTCCGGACACCCAGAGGTTCCCCGGGGTGATGTACGGATATATTGGCGTCTACTCTCAGCTGACCCTCTAGAAAGAAAAAAATACAAAACCTGTAGGAATTATTTGAAGCAATATGGTTTGTAGGGCCTGGTGATAGCTACGTAAGTAGTCTCTACCTTGATTTTCTGTCTAGTTAGAACAACCTATGTAGGGAGACAACTGGCTCTGAAACACAGGGCCGTCTTCCCGCCACTCAGGGCCAGCCGGAGTCCTGAGGATGTGCAAACATGCTTCTTGTGCACACACAGACATGTGTGACACTCAAGATGGAAGGGTCTATATAGTGCCTGTGTGCTAAATGAGAACAAGGTTATTAGAATAGAGGTCCGTTCTTCGGTTTTACTCTATGGTTATTTCCAAAGCATCTGAGCTGGGTTTGGGGGAAGCCTCGGGAATGATTATGTGAAGTCCTCCAGTGCTCTCCATGTGTTTTCAGGAGATTTATAAGACGGTCCTTGAGAATTTACAGCTCAAGGGCAGGAGCGGAAACCTGAGCTGCCCCCTCCCTTCCCAGGCACTGTAATGATTTTCCTTCTATAAACAGCAATCTGAAGCCTCCCTAGTTGCCATGAGGATTTGCTGAAGCAGAAAGACTGTGGTGGATGGGTGGAAGGGGAGAGGAGAGTTGGCCCTGTCCTTGTGGGGCCTCCTCTGCCCTGGAAAGCCCTGTGGCTCAGGAGACATGACCCTAAAGGAGCAGGTGATTTGTGGGGAGGACTAAAGGCTTTGAGGAAGAGAGGGAGGCACATCCCAGAACAGATACTAAGATGAGAAACAATCACATTTTCTATCTTACAAGGCAAAGCTTAAGTTCTGTTCTCCAATTTTATGTGTAATACTTATAAAGATGGGAAGACAAATGTTGCTCTTATTTAATTTTTGAGGCAGAGTCTCACTATGGAGCCCTGGCAAGCCTTGAATTCACCATCTTCCTACAACAACCTCCCACATAGCTAGGACTAGAGGTGTGCGTCACTGGTCCTAGCTCTTAGGTAAGGTTTTAAAGATGTTAATCCTTGAAACCTGATGATGGGCCAAATAAATTTACTTCCCAAATATTCCACAACAAAACATATTAAAACAATTAAAAGCATCAATAAATTCCATGTCAGGAAAAGTAGGGTTGTGACCCCCACTCCAGAGCTGTGGCAACCAGTCTGAGACCGGGTCGTGGGAAGAGCTCCCCCACTCTCTGACTCTGGACTCCTGACAAGATGCCTTTCGGCTCAGGACTGGCTCTCCCAACGGTGGCAGCTCTGACTTCTCGAGAACTGCTCACATCTTACAGCTGCTGATTTTTAAATCACTGTTTGAACACGTCACACTGCACTGAATTTTGAGAAGTGCCACCTGCTTAGGAACCTTGATGTCCCCTTATTTCCTACTTTGTCAGTTACCTAAAGTTTATCAGTTAGACGTCTCAGGTCTCTCCAGAAACCCTCAGACTTGCCACTCCTCTCCATCCTGCTACTGCAACCTTGGAGAGCACACACACAGAAGGAGCGCTTGTCTAGTCCCCAACACTGTGAGTAACCAAGGCTTTCCTGCTGGTTTCCATTGATTACCAGAGCACAGCAGTCCCACTCTGTCATCTCTGCTTCACATCTAAGATCTTATCTGACGGGACCAACACTCACACCAACCATTCCATAGGAAGGCTCCCCCACCTCCCCAACCCGCTTACTCCACTGGAGCTTTGATACTCTTCATTTTTGGAAGGGATGTGAGTGTTGAGACAGGGTCTCATGTGATGTATGTAAGGTTCCCCTCTGTATGCTGTGAATATGTTTTATTACCATTGGTTAATAAAGAAGTTTGCACTGGGTTATGGCAGGGCAGAATATAGCAAGGCGGGAAATCTAAGCAGAGATAGAGGAGGAAAGAAGGTGGAGTCAGGCAGATGCCATGTAACCACCCAAGAAGCAAGACTGCAAGGTAACAAACCATGAGCCTCGTGGTAAAATATAAAATAACAGAAATGGGTTAATTTAAGATGTAAGAGCTAATTAGAAATATGCCTGAGCCATTGGCCAAACAGTGTTGTAGTTAATATAGTTTGTGTGATTCGCATGTCACTCAGGCTGGCCTAAGCCTCAGTATGTAACTGAGGCTGGCCTTGAACTTCCAGTCCTCCTGCTTAGACCCCTGGAGTACTGGGGTTACAGATGTGTACCCCCATATCGAGCTCTCTAACGGAACTTCATCAATTTCCTCTCCCCCTGCCTCCCTTCGGCTTGACTTCCGAGACTTCATGTAAGGGGTTCCTTTTCTCTACTGGGTACTTCTGCCAGGAAGCAAACCTCCCTGTAGAGGCCCTGCAGCTTTCTCAGAATACAAGGAATGCAAGCAACATATAAGAGCCAGTGACTGATACCTACTGTGAACCAACCTCTATGCTAGGACCAGAATGGAAAGGCACTTGAAGATGGGCCCAGTTTTCAAGTTCTTCTTGCCCTTAAGGATATGGGCCTCACTACTCCTTTCTGTCATACAAGTCATCAATCTTTCTAAGCATTGCCTCTGATATGTACACATATAATGGTATTTATTTCTCATTAAGAAAACACACAAAAGCCTCAAAACTTATTCCCACAAGTCCAATTTTCACACCATCAATCATCAGCCATTTCTCAGCTTTCCCTCTAGGCAAATCTTCTCTAACAAGTTAGAGTACGTACTGTCTTCACTCTGTCCCGGGTAATCCTCTGAAGATGCTTGGTCAGGGTGTCACGTCGCCCTTGGTGCCAAATTCAATAGACAAAGACACATTCTGCTCTCACCTCACTACGACATATCAATTAATCCTTCATTTTTTTTCCCCACTCTGTCTTTTGAGACAGGGCTTTAAGCTGAAGATGGACTCAAATTTGCTATACAGCATAAGCTGGCCTTGAACTCGCAATCCTCCTGTGAGCCAGGGTTACCTTCGCCTGGTTTCCTTCTTTCTTGAAACGTCATTCTACACCAGAGTCGGTATCTCAATGCTACTCTGGTTCCCTGAACACTCAGCTTGCATCCCTCTTCCTGGGAAAACACAGGACTCTGTCCTCGTGCACTCCGAGTGGTGCACAGTTCTACACATCCTCTGTCCTCATGACGCCTAGATCTCCAAGGCAGACTTCTCCCCGGAGCCCTATTTCAGGCTTCATAGGTATCCAATTTCCAAATCCAAATCCTGACTACTTCCTCAAGCTTCCTGGAAGCCGCCTTCACTTTATTCCCATCTCTGGTCTTCCACACAAGCCTGTCATGAGCCTTCTTCCACAAACCATCTGGAGTCTAACCATCTCCCCATCATCTCTGCCACCATTGCTTCTCCTCTGGACCTGAGACCCACTCTCCACAGCAGCTACAGTGGCTTCTAAAATGTAAACCAGGCTAAGTGTTCCCTCGGTTGAATCCTTTCCACCATTCCCACATCCCCTGGAAGTGGGAATCTACTTCTGACTACTGTCAAAGTGTCCACTGCTTACCTTTCTGGCTTGTCCTACAGTCTGTCACCTTGGGAACCTCAGGGTACTTTCTGAGTTCCTCTTTAGGCCAGGCTCTTTGCCTTAGCTGTTTCCTGGAATGCTCACCACCACCTAGTTCTAGGCTGCTTAGGGCCTTGAGTCCTTCTTCATTTCTTAACTAAACATCAGCTCCACTGAGTGGCCTTTAAAAGCAATATTGTCACTTTTCAAGTTGTTCTTCATTATAATAACTATCTTTGTTTTGCTTGTTAATGTAATTCCTCCTTACTCCTCCCAAGGGTCACATCCTCATGGCAGGGACAAGGCCTTTTTTCAGAATTTAGAGCTGGGTCTGACCCATTGTTATTGTCCAATGAATTAAACCCCACTGAATGATGAATTCCAACACACTGGTATTTTCCTGAGCAATAAGCAAACATATTTGCTTCTGTCTCACGCTGGTTCCTGGTAAATCTACAAGCCTGTCTGACTAGAACTAATATAATATACATTTGGAATCATGCAAAAGGCCCATTAAGCCCAAAGGAAAACTGCCCAAGTATGCTGAACTCTGCACGACCAAACCATGTCTGCACAATAGTCTTTAAAAAAATTAAAAAAAAAAACCTCAGGGGACCCTGAATTACTACTCACTTTTAAAGATGATACTCTCTTTCATGATTTAGAATTCTAATTTGGAAGAGGAATAAAGGCATGAATTTTCGTCTCTCCCAGAGAATACCACACTACATAAATGTCTGAGGAGAATCACTTAGTATCCTGCCGTGTTGAAAGAGAGTTCACTAGTCTGGATTCAGGTATAGTATCAGACCTTAACAAAAGACACTCTGCCTCGTGAAGACAAAATGCCTTTTAAACAAATTAAGTTAAATTACCCCAAGTGCATGAAAGCCTTAGCAGTCAGGTTTAGCTCTGCATTCTGCCCCACTGAGGACCTCCATTCCCACATCAGGATGTCATCATGCTCAATCTCTGCCTTCTTGGAGTAGACAGCTGTAACAGCTGAACTACAAACTAGGCCACTGCGCACAGTGACAGAGCAGGTACGTCTTCCTTTGAAATACATCTGAACAAGAGCAAAACACTGGGATACAAAACTCTTTCTGCAAACAATGGGGGTCTGAGGCCTGGAGAGGGAGGTCTATGGGGACGGCCAGTCATTCTGGCTTCTGAGTAATCTCCAGAACTGAGAACAGAACGTGGGGCAGGGCTGATTTAAAACACGTCTGCAGTGCTGGAATAGGTCTCACACACGCTAAACGGGTATCTTACCACTGACTGCGTCCCCGGCCCAAATGGGATCAAATTTTACTGCCAATAACCCACAGAACATATCCATCCAGAGGAGTGCAAACTCTGTAAAAGCAGCCTCCTTTTACTGCTGTTGAAGGTGTGCGGCCCCCCACACAGCACCTTTGTCAGATCCTGTGCTGCTTCAGAGCCGTCCTTACATCCACCCTCTGTAACAAAGGGGCAAAGACAAGGACACCTGACTTCCCTGGGGCCTTTCAGACCATGGCCCCACCAGAGCCCAGACCTGCTCCTACAAAGTCACTCCTCCCTTACCACCCAGTGACTCACAGCTTGCTTTCCTTTTCTGTTCCTTTCTTTCCATACAACTATTTGAGAATGACTTTTAAAAGCATAGAAAGTAAGACTCAAAGAAATCAAGTAATATGTCCAGGTTTCTACTGCGAGAAGCCACAGGTTTGGATTCTAACTCAGATCCAGGCTCTCGGTCCACATCATGCAAGGATCAGGGAGCATGACGCTGTATGGCCGCCACTGGGAAGCACCACGGATAAACAAAGGAGGCGCACTTGGGTTCTAATGAGTCCTGGAGTAACAGCCTGCTTCCTTGCCTGTAAGCAGGCATGCCATCATCTCCCAGGAACACCGCAGTGTTTAAGCTACAGGATAAACTGTTTTAATAAGCACACACTAAACTTATCAACTGGTAGATAGAATCACTGTTCAAGTACTCAGTCGGTCTCTTCCCATTCAGATCAGCGTGCAGCTTTGGAGATCACTTTTGACAGCAGCAACACGCTCAGACACTGGACTACGGTGGTGGTGCCTGCTCACTAGCGAAACTACCAGGAGCTCACTAAATGGAGCCCACAACACTTCACACTTCAGTGCATAAGCACCACGTCTACCGGACTCCAGTGGCACCTCTTCAAGACAGCCTCCGGCTGCAGCAGCCTCCGGTGCTGCAGCCTCCGGTGCTGACACGACCATCTCACAGTGGCGGCATGAAAAAGTGAGCAAAGACATTTGGGCTGAAAATGCTAATGGGCGAGAATTTAGACTCTTGAACCCTCCAGGCAGCCCTCAGTGCTCTTCAGAACAACTCGAGCTTCCTGGCTGCTGTGCTGGAAGCAAAGCTGCTGGATTTGTGTCAAAAAGAAACAGAAAGTGCACAACAAATGAGATTCAGTGAACCTGTTCCGCTGCCACTGACTCAAGGGCTCTTGCCGTTGTAGTTTTCCTCCTGCGATGACCCAGAGGGACTCTCCCCCAGCTAACAGGTAGCCTATTCCTTACTCCATAGGTTTGCAGGAGGCAGTGATTTTGAGACTATCTAGAAATCTTAAAAACATGATACAGAATCAACGCTTAGCACATTGATGGCTAACCATCCAACCTGCCCATATTTCATTTATGTTCTGTGGAGGAAAAAGCAACATGAGTGATGAATGAAAAACAGACAATCCCCTTATTCCAACGTGGTCTTGTTCTATAAAAGAAACACGCAGGCAGCTAACCTTTCTGCCACTCAGACCCTTTAAGGGCGAGAGCAAATAAGCAAGCTGGTCATCAGGTCTCACTCGCTGCAATTACAATTACAATTCACCATTTGTACGATGGCCTATTTGACAAGCCCCTCTGTAACATGCAAACATGCTATGTGATGTGATGAGGGTGTCCACGGTATTATAGTCCAACAGGAGATGAACATCATCATGAAGGGTGCAGCTTCATGAAGGGTAAAGCACACTGCAGCGCTTTAATGTGCATGCTAGGAAAGAAGACTAAATCACAGTATGTTCTGTTGGGGGGGGGGGGAGAGCGCCAAGGGTGCAGGAGTTTGAAACTGGGTGCGGTTCACTTTCGGGGACTTGGGGACCCCGACAAAGCTGTCGTGAAGAATCAGAGTGAGCAGACCTATGATTTCCTTGACTGTGTTTCATCATGACACTGGTACTCGTGGACTGTCATCACACTCCAGAGCTGTGTCAAAGATCAAGGCAGTTTGATACAACTGCTTTCTCTTTGTAGTGCTGGGAATTGAAGCAAGGGCCTCACATGTGCCAGGTAACCACGCTGCTGAGCTGATCTCTAGGCCGGGATCATCACAATATTTATTTACAGAAAAAAAAAAGCTTTACCTGCACACACATAAAAATGTTTACTCCATTTTAAAAATTATTGAGTTATTATTGTCGTTTCTTGAGACAGGGTCTCACTGTTTGGCCCTGACTGGTCTCAGATTCTCTTTGTAGATCAGGTCAGCCTTGAATTCAACAGAGGACTAACTGCCTGCCTCTGCCTCCTGAGTGCTGGGATTAAAGATATTTTAATTGTACAAATGAAGGGGAAACAGTTTGATATTTTACTATCAGCATCCACATACATAGGCATAGTGTGTAATAATCAAATCAGGGGAGTTCACTGTCCAAGATGGATAAAAATTTTGTAAAAGCTGTATCTTCCCAAAATAACAACTGTCTATGCATATAGAACTCACAAAATAGGAATTATTATTCATGAGCAATGTTCTCTTCTGAAAGGTCAGAACTGAACACACCTCATGAACCCACAGCTCTCATGTAACAAACTGGCAGAAGGTAACTCTTGCCTCCTGACTCCCACGCTCACAATGTGTACGCAGTGTTGTTTGTGTGGAGTTTGATTGGGGTTCATAGAAAGAGCGCAGGGGAAATTTTAAGGGTGAAAAGAAGTGAGGTAGAAAAGGCTGAATACAGAGTGTGCCAGGAGCAGAGACAGGGACGACGCAGAGCAGGGCCACTGTCCACACGGCTCTACCTGCCATGTTCGCCTGGCTGGTCCCCAGGGCTTGAAGGATCAGCTGCAGTTCCCTAACAGCCACGGCTGCCTCTTCCCCACAGCACAGGTCAGGCTCCAGCACCACTTCAAGAAGGCCAACTCCTACCAAAGAGAGGCGAGTCACAAACTCATCAGCTAAGGAACTGGGAAATCTTAGGAAAACGTGGCATTAATGCACAACCTTCAAAAGCAACCCCGTCGCCCCTTCCCGCACTTCTGCCACTTGTCAATTTTTAACCCTGGCTAATTTCCTCCAATGTCTGCTTGAGGATACCCAGCTGTGGGCCGTGACAAGGCAGATCGGTCTGTCTAAGGTTAGGGGTGTGTAATTGGCAAGCCTAGCAGTGAGCACGGTTCAGGCTGTGCTATCTCATCAGCTCTGCCAATACCAACATGGATATTTTGATCTGTTAGTCAGTTCCTGTGCCTGCTTTCTCAATTAGTTTAAGAAAAAGTCTTGAAGGGAGGAGAAGTGCCCAAGACCCCAGAGCAGAGAGGGTCAGAAGAAGTTAGACCCAACCTACCGGCTCTATTCAAATCAATGAGAGTCTGGGACCTCAGGTCATCATGGAGGCTTTTGCCACTGTCCTGCTCCAACTGGATCTGTTTGATCCTCACTGTCTTGGTGGTCACCTGACTCTGTTTCTTCCTTATGTAGATGCTGTACGTCAAGTGTCCATTGGTAGCTATCGGGAGCCTCTGCTGGGTGATCTGGTAACCCGCCTGTTCACAAGCATACATGGATTAGTTAAGACTCCAGAACTAAAAGCTGGGATTCACTTAACTTTTAGTTTCATGTCATAAAGGTTTACTTGAAACAAACACAAAGAACAGGAGAAACAACAACAAAGCCTAGTTTATACATTGTTGCCATAATTTAGTCTTTATTCTCCTGGCTTTTTCTATTACCCCGTTCCCCACCCCAAGTCTCTCACCCCCAATAAGGATGCAATTAGCAACAGGAATCCTGTCTTCCTGACTGGAGTGCCATTTTTGAGAGTAACAAAAATCTCATTGTCAGAGGCCCCTAAGAGAAGAATTTATTGTTTTCATTTAGCTCATTAGCCTAGATTCTGCATCTCATTACCAGGCTCCTGCTGAGCCCCTTATTAGGGGATGCCAGCTAAGCAGCTAGCCATCCACTTGCAACATGGCTTTCAACAACTGCCATTGCATTCCAGCTTGTTTAAGGTCTGCTTTTTTGGGTACGCAGTCATGTCAGCTGCTCTTCCCTTACCCCTCTGGCCGGAAAGTACTGCAATGTGCTCCCAATCTGCTAACAGACAGCACACAGCGCAAAACGCTGACGGACGCTGTGAGGATGTCTGTCCCTTCTAAAGGGAAAGGATTACTTTCTAACACATGCATGATGACGGAAAGACTGGAGATAACCAGAGTGACGGCTAAAGCATCCCCAGGACTTGCTGGACACTGTCGTCCTCATTCAATCCCAGGAGCCTATGTAGTATAGGCAAGAGGGGCCCACACATAGAACCAGGACATCTCCAGGTCACACTGGCCCAAGCTGGTTCCTCTCCTTACGGGGCCAGTGAAAGACTTTTAAAATTTTTACTGCCTTAGAAATACAAGTGGACATGTCAAGCCATGTTTAATGTGACCTTCAAGGTTTCCGATGCAGGAGGCCTGGAGTAGAGCTGTAGGATTTGTATTCCTAACAAGGCTCTGGGAGATGCTGACACTGGGTGCCCTGGAGTCACACCTGGGGAACTGTGCAGAAGGCTAGCTCCTTACGTATACTCGGATAGCAAGTCTGCACCTATAGCCCTGAATTCTGGTTTGGGTTGGTGTACAAAGCACCAGGCACTGCTAAGTCTGAGTTTTAGATAACAGCAAATGAGCTGTGTCGTATACAGGCCCTGTGCGACACCGTGACTGCCTGTTCTGACATGCCCAACTGCCCAGGTCAGGGGGAACAGGCGACATTCCAAACATTTCCAGGGTTTCATGAGAGTCAGTGGTACACAGCTCACCTAGCATATGCCAGTCCCTAGGTTCCATCCCCAGTACTGAAAAATTAAACATTTCTTTTCAATTTATATAGTCGAACTTGTAGAAATGGGGGCTGTGGGGGAGCTACAGGTCCTCTTTACCTTGGGATTTTTATTTACGTCTGTTCATGCCCACTAAACCCCAACTCCTCCAAATCTTCAGTTCCCGGAGGAAGATGCATGGCCGTGTTTACTGCTATCGCTTTTCAAAATCATACTTACCTGTCAGAACATCTGATTAAATGCACATGATTTTCAGAAACCCATTCAACACTCCAATTGTGTTCCAGCGTGACACCATGAAAAGTGGTCTCTCATTCACACTGGCACCACTTTAAAAAAGAAACTTTCTAAATTTAGTGCAAAAGCAAGTAAATATTGAGTTTGCTGCTCAACTAATTACTGCTATTTGTGCTCATTCTGGCTCACACTTTTGCCTACTACTGTCCAGTTACTTGCTCCTTGGGAGATGACAGAATGTGTCCAAAGGAGCTGGCCTCCTTATTAGGAAAGTCTACATTAAAGAGACACATTCTCACAATGTTTGAAGCGACAGTGGCTAGCCTTTGTCCTAACAGGCAATTAGCACCAGACACCATGGCTGGGAGGACCTGACAGCACTGGCCTCTCCCGGTCCCTGTTCAATTACGAGTGAACCAACAGAAGCATGAGACTAGGCAAGGAGTCAGCGATCAGGACAATCACATCCAATCTAGTGAACACCGGGGGGCCTCCGCCTTCATGAGGGCTGGACAGAGCCTCCTGCTGCGATGGACAGGTCACACAGCACACTCACGGGAAGGTCTGCGTAGAAGTAGTGCTTCCGGTCAAACAAGGACTTCCTGTTGATGTGGCAGTTCAGCGCCAGGCCGGTCATCACCGCAGCTTCCACACACCTCCTGTTGAGAACCTTTACAAACACCAGACAAGCTTCTTTAGAACCACAGGCTGCACAGCTGCTTCTCTCCACTTCCAAAATCTTCCCTGAATAGTCAAAACTGTTATCTCTGGCTCTCTGTGGTCAGCTCTGCTTGCCAAGCTGACTGTGAATCAGAAAAATATTACAGCATCAACAAAACACGTATGCACCAGTGGGACCCACTGGGCATTTAATAAAGTGCCCACCCAGGGACCCTTCCCCAGCACACATCAGAGAAAGGAGATTCACAATGCTCAGTAGAGCATTACCACATGGGCTAATCCTCGTCTCTCTCTCTGCAAACAGAATCCGGAGTCATTCTGTGAGGAAGTGATTGGGGAGAGGACAGTCCTAGGTCTGCAGCATCCTACTGAGGTGAAGTGTAACATGGAGAGTCACAGTGGGGCACAAAAGGCTGATCAGGTGGCTGAACTGGCAGGAAGAAGAACAAACTTCTAAGAGAAAATGGCTACAGAGATTTTGTCATGCTGGGGCTGCGGCACTGCCTCCTCCAGGCATGGCCACCTCAGAGGACCTCACTGCCTCATGCTCTGGGTTTGGCAGGGTTCCTGGAGCTCCCGGGTTTCACTGGATCCTAGAGTCGAGTAGCCAATGTCCTAGCCCCCAGGTCAGGAACAGAGTTTTGGAGGTTATAAACTAGATAATGACTAGGTAACACAGTAAAGGACAGCTAAGTTCTGGGATCAGGTCTGTGTTCACTTCTACTCTGGATATGTAGTGACAAAGTGCCTCGGTTTTCCAAAAGGGATGTGATGCATACCTTGTTGACTGGACAAACTGATACTGGGAACACTGACTTGCCCCACTGTATGGACTCAATAGCTTATCAATCATTCATTGCATTTTGGGAAAGTGATGAGGAAGAGACCTTCGAGAGAGCAGGCCTGAGCCAGCGACCTCTGTGGGACCAGGCCAAGGTCAGTAACCTCTGCAGGATCAGGCCTGAGACAGGGATACCATCAGGAGCAGGCCCAAGGGTCAACCTCCGTGGAATCAGGACTGAGCGAGCAATCTCTTCCAGAGTACACCTGAGCCAACCACCTCAGTTGGAGCAAGCCCAAACAAGTGACCTCCATGGGACCAGTCCCGAGTGAGCAACCTCTGCCCAAGCGGGCCCACCCAGCAACGTCCTCCAGAGCAGGCCCTAGCCAACCACCTGCATGGGACCAGACTCAAGCCGGTGACCTCCACGGGAGCAGGCCCAAGCATGAGACCTCTGTGTTAGCAGGTCCAAATGACGTCTAGGAGTGCTGAGCAACCAATCTCTAGGAATGCTGAGTGATCTCTGAGGTGAATGGAACCTTGGCCCCAACTTCACCAAGAGGAACAACCATCTGAGCCTTGAATCCACTGGCACCCGGAATAGTGATCACCAGAGACATGGCCCCAACTACACCAATGAGAGGAAAAGGTAGGTAGGCAAGGTAAGAACAGACTCCACACCACAAAAACTACTGGCTCTAACACAGCAAGACTTCAACCTCCAATACAGATGAAGCAGAAGAAAATGACCTAAGAAACAACTTTGGGAGAATGTTTGAGGCCCTTAAAGAGGAAATGAAAAATTCTCTCAAAGAAATGGAGAAAAAGATTAAAAAAAGGAAGAAATCAGTAAATCCCTTAAAGAAAACCAGAAAAAAGCAAACAGGTGAAAGAAATGAACCAAGACTTGAAAACCAAAATAGAACACCACAGAAAACACAGACCAAGGGAATTCTGGAAACAGAAAATATGAGAAAACAATCAGGAATCACAAATGCAAGTATAAACAGCAGAATACAAGGGATGGAGCTGGGCGGTGGTGGTGCACGCCTTTAATCCCAGCACTCGGGAGGCAGAGGCAGACGGATCTCTGTGAGTTCGAGGACAGCCTGGTCGACAAGGGCTAGTTCCAGGACAGGTTCCAAAGCTACAGAGAAACCCTGTCTCGAAAAACCAAAGAGAGAGAGAGAGAAAGAGACAGAGACAGAGACAGAGAAAGAGAGAGAGAGAGAGAGAGAAAGAGAGAGAGAGAGAGAATCTCAAGTGTTGAAGATACAATAGAGGAAACAGACTCATCAGTCAAAGAAAACGTTAAATCAAACAAAAGCTTAACACAAAATTCCAGGAAATATGGGACACCATGAAAAGACCAAACCTAAGAATAACAGGGATAGAAGGAGAAATTCAACTCAAAAGCACAAAAAATATATTTAACAAAATCATAGAAGAAAACTGTCCCAACCTAAACAAAGATATGCATATGAAGATACAAGAAGCTTACAGAACACCACATAGACTGGATCAAAAACAAAGTCCCCTTTCCACATAATAATCAAACCACTAAGCATAAAGAATGAATAAAGAATACTAATAGCTGCAAAGGTCAAGCAACAGATAAAGGCAAACCTATCAGAATGACACTTGACTTCTCAATGGAAACAATGAAAGTGAGAAGTTTCTGGTTAAGCATTATGTAGACGGTAAGAGATCACAGACGCCAGCCCAGACTACTATACCCAGCAAAAATTTCAATTACCATAGAAGGACAAAACAAGATATTCCATGACAGAACCAGGTTTAACCAAACCTACACACACACCTAGCCCTACACAAAGTACTAGAAGAAAAACTACAATCCAAGGAAGTTAGCTATATCCACAAAAACACAGACAATAGATGATCTCACAGCAGCAAATCCCAAAGAAGAGAAACACACACACACAATAACATTCCCGACAATGAAAGCTAAAATAACAGAAACTAGCAATAACTGATCATTAACATCCCTTAATATAAATGGACTCAGCCTCACCTATAAAAAGACACAGGCTAACAGACTGGATATGAAAATGGAATCCACCTTTTGCTCCATACAAGAAACACACCTCAAACACAAAAGACAGATATTTCCTCACAGTAAAGGGTTGGGGAAAAAATTTTCCAATCAAATGGACCCAAGAAACAAGCTGGTGTAGCTATCCTAATATCTAACAAAATAGACTTAAAACTAAGATCAATCAAAACAGATAAAAAAAAGACTTTTCATATTAGTCATAGGAAAAAATCCATCAAGAGGAAATCTTAATACTGAAGATCTATGCCCCAAAGACAAGGGCACCTTCATATGTAAAAAACAAATACACAAACCAACAACAACAACAACAAAAACCAAAAACACTACTAAAGCTTAAATCACACACTAAACCCCACACACTAATAGTGGGAGACTTCAACACCCCAGTCTCATCACTGGACAGGTCTGTCAGACAGAAAATTAACAGAAAAATAAGGGAACTAACAGATGTTATGAATCAAATGGACTTAACAGACTTCTACAGAACATTCCATTCAAAGATAAAAGAATATACCTTCTTCTCAGCACCTCCTGGAACCTTCTCAAAAATTGACCACGTACTAGGTAACAAAGCAAACCTCCACAGATACAAAGAAATGGAATAACCCATGTATCTTATTGGATCGCCATGGCTTAAAATTAGAATTCAACAGCAACACTAATTGCAGAAAGCCACAAACACATGGAAGTTAAATAATACTCACCTGAATCACCAATTGGTCAAGGAAGAAATAAAGGAGAAAATCAAAGATTTCTTAAAATTCAATGAAAATAACCACACAACATACTCCAATTTATGGGACACGATGAAAGCAGTGTTAAGAGCAAAGTTCAATGTCTTTAATACTAGCACTTGGGAGGCAGAGGCAGGTGGATCTCTGAGAGTCCGAGGCCAGCCTCGTCTACAAAAGCTAATGCCAGAATAGGCCCCAAAGCTACAGAGAAACAAACAAACAAACAAAAAACCCAAAAAAACAAAAATCAAACAAACAAAACAAAAACAAGTGAAGTTCATAGCACTAAATGCTTACATAAAGAAGCTGGGGGGAAAGAAATCCCACACTAGTGAGCTAACAGAATACCTGAAAATTCTAGAACAACAAGAAGCAAACTCAACCAGGAGGATTAGATGGCAGGAAATAATCAAACTGAAAGCTGAAATCAACAAAACAGAAACAAACAAAACAATACAAAGAATCAATGAGACAAAGAGTTGTTTCTTCAAGAAAAATCAACAAAATAGACAAACCTTTATCCAAACTAACCAAAAGGCAGAAAGAGAATTTCCAAGTTAACAAAATCAGAAACAAAAAGGAGGACATAACAAATAGACACGGAGGAAATCCGGAGAATCATCAGGTTATACTTTGAAAACCTGTACTCCACAAAATTGGAAAACTTAAAGGAAATGGATAAATTTCTGGATAAATATCACTTACCAAAATTAAATAAAGACCAAATAAGCAAATTAAATAGACCTATACTTGCTAAGGAAACAGAAACAGCCATCAAAAGTCTCCCAACAGAAAGGAAAAAAAAAATAAAAAAGCCTAGGACCAAATGGTTTCAGGGTGAAATCTACAAAATTTTCAAAGAACTAATACCAATACTCCTCAAATTGTTCCATACAATAGAAACAGAAGGAACACTGTCAAACTCTTTATGAGGCTACAATTAGCCTGATACCACACAAAGACATTATTAAGAAAGAGAATTACAGACCAATCTTGCTCATGAACATTGATGCAAAAATACTCAATAAAATACTGGCAAACTGAATCCAAGAACACATCAGAAAAATCATCCACCATGACCAAGTAGGCTTCATCCCAGAGATGCAGGAATGGTTCAATATATGAAAATCTGTCAATGTAATCCACCATATAAACAAGCTGAAAAAAAAATCACATGATCATCTCATTAGATGGCTAAAAAGCTTTGGACAAAATACAACATCCCTTTATGATAAAGGTCCTGGAGAGAGCAGAGATACAAGAAACATACCTAAACATAATAAAAGTAAGATACAGCAAGCCAACAGTCAACATAAATCTAAATGGAGAGAAACTTGAAGCAATCCCACTGAAATCAGGAACAAGGCAAGGCTGTCCACTCGCTTCTTATTTATTCAGTG